AATTTTGGGTTAATAGAACAGCATTTTGTATAGATTAAAGTATAAATACAAGTCTGACAGACATAATAATATAAATGTTTATATATATACATGTTCATTTTTATTAATATATTACATTTTTATATAAACAAACTAAGCCTTCACTGGTATTGTTGGGAACAGCTCACAGGTGCTCCAAAATAGAATTGACAGAACTGAGAATTAAACTGGAATCAAATAAACTAACTTTTCAGTCTGGAAAAATGCACAATACACTATCATTTATTAAAAATATTAAAAAGCCATTTAAACCCATATTTTTAAGTAGTGAAGAGAGTACTTTTATTTGATATTTACACCTTGGTATAACTGATATAAAAATACCTTTTCAGCACAGTGGTTTTACATAATACATTTTCACTACAAATGTATCAGCATTTTAAACAGATTTTTGAAACATACAATATAATTTGCTGCTCCTTAAAAGTAGATAAAATTATGCAGATACTAATTTACCTTGGATGAGAACATGACCTTGTATTTATTAAAACAGCTTATTTAGCTTTTAAAAAAATGTTATCAATTGAGGAAATTTTTCTTTTGAGACAACTTCTTAGTTAGGTTTAACTATATACTGCTACTAGCATTTCCTGAAAAATGTTAAATATAACACCAATTTGTTGTGTCTTAACTGAGCAAGTATTTTACACAACCTGAATATAATGTGGTCTCAGTTATCACAGCCAGCAGATTTGTGAGCATTTAAAATTTTCCTTCAGCCAGTTGCATCAGATGAATAATTATAGCATGTATTCAATGTCAGGAGACATATAAAGAAAATAATCTGATAATTAAATTACTTGCATATTTTTCGTATTCTATAAGACTACAGACAATATTTCAAAGATACTAAAAACATAATGAAATTTTACGTGCAACTTAATTCAAATTTGTTTAACATACCACATCAGTAATGTTTAGTATTTTCCTGGTCATTGCTTCTTTGTCATGATGTGGAGTTGGAGTAAACCAGAGCTTCTGGAATGTCTCATTTACTAATTTCTGAAGGAGAAAAAAATATTAGCAGAAATAAATAATTTTATCTTGGCATGTAGGTATTATTACCAATACATCCATACAATAGATTTGTTGACAATATGTGCCTTTTCATAAGGAATTAGTCAACCCACATGATACTGTTGTAGAGAATGTTATCTGAGATAGACCCAGAATTACTATTACAGCAGTTATTCTGGTCTCTAAGCAAACTTCACTAAAATGATCACTGAAAATTGATGCCACAGAAAATGGAGCACTTTCCTACACTAATTTGCATTCCTCAGGAAAACATAGTTCACTGAGAAGCTGACAACTGAATACAAGACTACAATTTCCAAAGCAGAATTAGCAGCAATTGTAGATTACTTTGGCATTTTCAGAATAGTTGTGACAATGCGAGGAAGAAAAAGAAGCCAAGTCTCTCTATGCAAACATAGGAAGTTGGTTCCCTTAAGAGTGTTTTTGTATGGAGGAAAAGATGGAATAGAATGAAAGTGGACTAACTATTCCCAAATTACTTATAAAGCATATGCTTGTAGGAAGCGTTCCTCATCCATGGACACATAAAAAATACATTGCAGATACTGTCTCATCTTTATGAGGTTGTTGGAAAGGCAAGGGAAAAGAGAGAAGAAGGACATCCTCCTTTCTTATCAGCATCTTAGATCCACCTGTTCGTCTGCTTCTTGATTAACAGTCCTCTCTGAAAGCCACTTTGCATTAACGTATCTTGTGGCAAAATTATATGCTGCAGCTTTAAAGTTGCAGACTTGAAATCCCATTGAAAGTGTGATACAAAATTATAACAGTTGTATTCTTAATTACCCAACAATTTTAAAATTATTTTTGCCAAATCAAACAAAAAACATCAGTGTCAGGTTTATGATTCAACACAGTTTTTTGCCTTTCTGCATATGTGGTGCACAAAGACTAGATGATGATCACATAAGTAACATTTGAGGGGGGATAATCGATTCATTAAACATTCAAAATTAAATAAAAATTTGCACAGATTAATACTTTATATTTTTATATGCAGAACTTATAAATCTGGCATAATAATTTTGACTTAAAGTTTATTTTGTTTTCAGAAAGGAATTTTATATGCTAATTTTACTTACTAGAAAAGGGAAGAACCAGAGACAACCCTTGCAAAGAGAAAAATCCCCAAAACTCTAAGATAATAACTTTTAAAAATCCTTTTATCATCAACAAGAACTTGAAGAAATAGAAGCAAGAAAAGAAAACCAAGTCAGACAGCAATGTAGAAAGCTATATTACAAAGGAGCAATGAAATACTTTTTTGATTATATTTGGGTCAAAATATAGAAACCAGTTATGATAATTTAAATCCTGAAGGATATGTTTCATTCTACCTTAATGCCTTCTTCGTCATTAACTCTCCGAATCATTTTCACACACATCTCAGTAATTTTGGGAAATGTTGGTTGTTCAATGCAGATATCCCTAAGTATCTTTATGACTCTTTTTCTGACACTGATACCAGTATCCTGTGAGGAGAAAGCATTATGCTCTTGAAAAGAAATCAGACATATTACCTAATTTATGTATTATATAAATTCATATTTGAAAGCCACACAATCTGACCTGTAAAATGTATTCAGAAAAGGTAGCTAGACTATATTTATACAAAAGGTCAGCATAACTTTATTTGCAACAATTCTAAAGGTTTTGGCTGAGTCCCCAAAACATTGAAATGGTTCCTCCATTTATATCCTCCCATTTAAGAGCTCATGACTTTGCAAATGTATAATTCCACTTCTTAATTCAAGAGCTTACAAGCTAGATGTGATGATACTTTAGCTACTTTGTTGGAACACACAAGACCTTTTGGACTCTAATACTTCAAAAGCCTTTGGATAAAGCCTATGGATGATACGTGCAGCAAATATTTTCCATTTTCCTAGGCTTTGTCTATCAAGAAGTATGAGGAACTTCATTTCCTATTACTCTATTCAAAACATGCTTAATCTTAATGCCAGGAATGAACATCTTAACGTATGCTCATATGCACATCTCCAAAATACTTTACAAACATGTTTTATCATGTAACTATAGCAAATGAGTGGCTGGTGTGGGGCTGTGTTTGGGATTCTGCTGAACACAGGGTTGATATTACAGAGATGTTATTGCTCAGCAGGGCTTGAACAGAGACAAGGCCTTTTCTGCTCCTTGTATGGCCTCAGTAGGGAGGAAGCTGGGGGTGTGTGGGAGGTTGGGAGGGGACACAGCTAGGACAGGTGACCCCAACTGACCCAAGGGATATTCCAGACCATGTGACATCATGCTCAGTATATACAGTGGGGGGAAGAAGGAGGAAGGGGGGGTGTTTGGGGTGATGGTATTTGTGTTCCCAAGTCACTGTTACATGTGATAGGGCCCTGCTCTCCTGGAGATGGCTGAACACCTGCTGCCCATGGGAAGGACTGAATGAATCCCTTTTTCTGCTTTGTTTGTGTGACTGGTTTTTGCTTTCCCTATTAAACTGTCTTTATCTCAACCCACGAGTTTTCTGGCTTTTTCCCTTCCAATTCTCTCCCTGATCCCACTGGTGGGGGAGTGAGTGAGCAGCTGTAAGGGTCTGTGTGGCTGGTTGGGGTTAAACCATGACAATATAACAAAACCTTACTGAAAACAAGCAATGCATTTTACAAGGTTGGTCTTAAAAGCATCATGCTCCCCCCAAAAATAATAAAATATAATTTACTCTTTGAATCATCATTCCATATTATTGAACATATTAACTCAGTCGAATATAAATTTTCCAATGACATCATAATTATTAAAAGTCACTGTACCAATATTCTTTCGATCAGCATGTCATAATACTGCTCAGCAAGCTGAGGACGACAGAGCACAAATCGGCCAAGCAGCTCCACAGCTGCTTCTCGTACACTAGTGGAGTTATCCATTAACCGTCCATGAACACCCCGTTGCATATCCAGCTAAAAAGAACAAATAAAACACAGATCCAAAATAAGAAGTAAAGATTTCTTTAAAGTGCAACAGAAGAATGCATGTCAATGATGGATATTTCAGATTTATTTACCCTGGCTAGAATACTGGGGTCTACAGCAACAACCTCAGACAGACACTTCATGGCTTTTGTTCGAACAGCAATTGCATTTTCACCAAGTACACGCAGAATCTAATAAGAGAACAAAACCAAAGATTCATTTGCTTTGGGAAGGTAGTAAACTGTTTAACAGGCAAAAATGCAGCAGAATAACATGCAAATGATTTCATTAAAATAAGAAATCCTTTCATTGTAAACTCTATTTTTGCCATTTGGTTGTGGTTTTCATCATGGTTCTTTCAATGGAAGATGAGGATTTGGGCAGTATTATTTTAAGAATGGCTCTGTATGCGGATCAGTATAAGTAACACAACCTAACCTAAACTAAACCAGTACTGGAGTTCAAACATGCTGCCATGACAACATGCTCTTCTCCCAGAAAAAAGTAAGAAACTACACTGGTTAAACAACAGCTTCCAAAGTGACAGTAACATGTACTGCGAACAAGTAGCCAAACTGGTTTACATGATCAAATTAAGATAAGTTTAATAAGTTAATATTACCAAATGAGCATGCATCTTACAAAAAACGTAAAAAATATTTCAACATTTTGCAATTATCCTTTTGCTGAGCACATCTAAGATATTGATTTTGCCACATACATCCATAGCCAAATAAAGTAATCTATGTACAATATGACATATAAAGTGCATGCAAGAAAAAGAAATATAAGCACTTATGTCATCAATACAGAATATGAAAGCACATGGTGTTATCATGACCTGTTAAATAACCATGCTCAACAATGAACACATATGGTACACTACCATAAAAGTGTTTGGAATCAGAAACCAATTGCATTTCACTGTACTAAGACTTCCATCACAGTTTACCTGTGTCAAATAAATATCAAAGCTCTGGGCAAATGGCCTCATAGAGGCCAAGTAGCGAACAATCAAACATGCATCTTCATAGTCCACAGTATCAGAATTCATCCTGCAAAAATTTCAATGTTTTAATTAGGATGTTTATAAAAAATTATTCAAAATGTCAAATGCATGGTTAATAAAGAAATCAGTGGTACTCAAACGTACTTTAATGTACTGAACTGAGATGGAGCAGTTTTAATGATGCTGCGAAGAAATGTTTTGCGACTTTCCGCTCTATGCATGATTTGCCCTGTGGTCTCAACATCTTTTGCATGATGAGTTCCTTCAGATGAATCCTCATCCTTCTGAGATTTAATTGCTTTCTCTGTCTCCATAGTTGTATCACGGAACCACTGAGCTATATAAAACTTCCGAGAAAACTGGAGAAATACAGCAGGATACACAGAAAACAAAAACAACAGATGTAGAAGAGTGAAATTAACAGATTTATGAGATTGAGTCTAATGCATCAACCATATTTTGGAAAACATAATCATCAGTATATGTTAGGGTGACAATTTAATTGAATCCCTAATATGCATGACCAAAAATCATTTTGTTCAGTACATGTTACTGAAATTATTTTTATATAGACTTGTCACCAGAAAGCTGAAATTTACCACTAATGATGCATCAGTTTCTGTGTTCTCATCCAGATAATCTAGCAAAGCCTTTTGCAGCTGTTGAATTTCATCTTCTCCTCCTGAAACCTATAGGAAATAGAAAGATATTTATAAATTAGAATATTTCACAGTGGTGATTATCATCTGAAAACCTACATGTCCACATATAAAATACACTGAAGTTAATGTTCTGCAATTATCAATACAATTAACAATTTTTAAATCAATTACTTCTATAGAGACTAAACCAAATTAGACTGTGGTTCCAAAGTCTAAAAAACGATTAACAGCAGAATAAGACTGGTTTTAAAACAGACAAACTGGTTTGAATAATTTTCATTCTATGATCTTGTATGAAGACCCTCTGTTCCTGAGGAAAAACAAAGGACTGAAATCACACAAAGCAAACTGACACAAGATTTAACCTATAAAAAGCATTACTGGCTCTCTCAATAATATTACATACTGAAACAATGATTTCTCAGGTGAACAAGGGATAAAAGGCAAAAAAGTCAAATGAACATAAATACAAAACACAGACAACAGTACAAACATATGGGAAACATCAAAGAAATAAAAATAATTTATCCCTTTGCAAAACATTTGGTATAACTGTTTTCAGGTTTAAAGCATCAATACAGAGAAAGTGGAGCATGTTCAATCCATGTAGCAAAGAATTTACAGAGGTTATTCCCAAACACCCCTGAGCTCTAGCACTAAAGAATCATACTCTCTGCGACAACTAAGTTTCTATCAGTCAAAAACCTTGAGAACATATATTTTATAAAAATTCCACCAAGTACATAAAGCCTATCTACAGAATAGGCTAATATTCATTTTCCTGTGAAGTACTTTCAAGAAGCACAAAAAGGATTACATATGAAATATTATTCTGAGAACTATGTATCAGATTTTTAAATATATAAACTGTATGAATTTTAAAAACAGAATGGGTTTTTTTCAAGAGGCTATTTAATAGGAAATATGTATATCCTGATCTCTTAAATAGTTCTAGCCTATGTAAAATGAACAATTCTGCATATGACCATCAGACAATGTACTTTTCCCTATATAGGGGTTAGAGAACAAATAACTATCAATTAACTTGTTAATGAATCAGAAACTAACTTTCTCAACACCTACAAGACAGCATAAACCCATAAACATAAAACACCCTTTTCCCTTACTATTATACTGAAATGTGCAGGTCCTTGTAATTGCTGATGCTATAGAAGAAAAAAGGATTTTTTTCCCCCCCAAAATGATTAAGTTCAAGAATTCAAAACACATCTACAGTACACATAATACTAATATAGGTTTATTAATATATATTTGGCACCCTAATATATGTGCAAATTGTGATTTGAAAGTCTGGTTTTCAACTAATGTTAAATTCTGTGGACAAAAGGCTGGAAAAAAAGTTGCTTGATGAACTGTAACTGCCTAACTATTAAAAAAAGTAAAAAATTCAGAACAAACAAAAAGAAACTGTGAAGCCCGCAACAAATCATATTCAGTATTGATAAAAAAAGTAGAAGAATAATTTCTGGCTTTAACTTTTCAGCTACAAAACATTCTTCTTCTTCTTCAGCAATAAAATCTGTAACTTCTAACCATCAACTTCTGTATGAACAGCATAGTTTGAGAATCTTTTGACAAGTGTAGCACGTAATATAGCTTGCAAACAACAGTACGTGGAAAAAGGTACAGTTACAAGTCCAGAAGATCGGCATATCAAGAGATAAACTAATGAAAAGCATGCATAAGTGTTCAACTTGACAATCTATGACATATTTCTATGAAAAAAATCTACTGTTTAAAAATGTCAAAACAGAATAGATTCTCTACTACATCTATTTATACAGTTCATGAGTCCAAACCACAATAGACAGAGTTATAAGCATTCATAAATCATTGGGGGAATATCCTGGTAATGATATCAGAGGGTAGAAGGAAATATCCAACAGTCTAAGCTTTCAATTCAACAGGAAAGAAAAATGTGTAGAGATAGAAGTTCATTTCTGAATGAAAAGATAAAAGATATTTCTGATGACTAAAGCTGAATATGTCTACCAATGGATCTTATTTTCTTGACATTTGAGCAACAAAGTGAAACTTAGGTGTCATGTGCACATTTTCAAGTAGTTTGTTCTTATGTTACAAATCATTTATAAACAACACACTGTCTATCCTGACTGATTGTACTGTATAGTATACACTTTCCACAATGTACTATCTGCCATCATTTATGTTAAGTTTCCTGAGTAACAGAAAAAAAAGCTTTTAGCACTCAATTGCCCACAGCTATTTTATTTTCTGCAGATGCCAATGCCTAGTTACTGCCTGATCCTGCAAAAAAACCAACACAAATAGACAAATTCAGGTCACCATTCAGGTATGTATCTTTTTAGAATATCTTTCAATACTACTATATAACTTCAGGAGATAAGGAAAGAGAAAAAGATTCTTCTAAAATATTTGCCTATGAAGTCTAATGTACAACTCTCAAAATCACTGCCAACCGAGGGAGAATTATAATCCCTTAGCACATAGAATTATAAATTATAATAAACCATGAACATAAAGGTTTGACACTATATGTAGTACAATATTCTAAATGACAAAAGTTATGGGAAGTATCAACCTCCTAAAGGAGTAGATGAATTTTGATTCTTTATTTGAACGCCTGTAAATTGCACAAGTTTTTCCTTCAAAATAAATCTGTAACAGTCATTATAAAATACATATAATAGATCTGGAGTCTTTTCAGATAACTGAAAGGGAAACAAACTTGATACGACTACTCAACTTTAGACCTAATAATGAAAATAATTAGTAGTTCAGAAAGAAATATATACCATCCATAAGAAATGTGAAAGTTCACATTTTTAAAAGGACACATAAGACCCAAGATTTTCTTATCGTGCTATAGAGAGCCCAAATGCATACACTGCATTGTTAATTGCTGCCACCCTTGCAGATTTGGAGAAATTTTGATAAGCAGCATTAACAGAAATGCAAATATGTATTCTCTAATGAAAGATATATGAAAGTCCAGTAAAAAAAATCCCCACAAAAATAACAACACTCCCCCCACAGACCCCCAATACCAGCTCCATCACATAAAAGCTAACCTTACAGGCCTAACAGTTTAACTCTCAAAAGTCTGTGTATGAGCACCATAAGCTCAATTACCATTTGGCAATAGCAAATGCACATACATACATACACATCTCTATATATTTTAAGGCCTCCTAAGACATAATCCAACTGTCATTCCATTATTTCCTTTAAATTGTCACCAGAAAACTGGTTTTACCATTTTAATTAACCACTTAAAATGGTCACTAGGGAGCTGGTGAGAGAAAGACATGAATACTTATAAATTGAGTATATTTGATTCAGAAATCTGAACAACAATGAAAACTCATTCTCCACAATGCCAGTTTTTCACACATCTTTAAAATGTTTAAGCTTTTAAATAGATACATCTCAATCCAACTGGTACAGGATCTTTCACACACCTGTTTGAGTATTCTGGCTATAGAACCTTGATCCATTTTGCTAGTGACTGCATCTTTCCTGAGTCTTGCAGCTACTGTTCCAAGATAGTCAAGTGATGCAACCCTTAATGCCATTTCTGTAGATTTGTTACTGAACTGGTGAACCTAAGAAAAGCATAGTAAATTGTTATAAAAATTATTTATGCAACTGAGATTCTTCTCACAAGACATTGCTTGACCTTATTAAAAATTGCACCTAACTTCCATGTTGCATAAAATTATGTAATTTACTATTACATCACAGATACAGTCCTTACTTTACATTAATGTTTTTTCCTTTATTGGTTCTTTCTCTCTACAAATATACCTGTTAGTTTTTTAAAAATCTGTATTTTTATAAAATAAACTGGACATCTAGTAGAGCAGGTATCCTTTGCAATAGCATAGCACCATAATACAACTTTTCACACAAGCATAAAGAAAGCTACATTTTACCTGGAACAGGACCATAAAATACATTCCAAATAAACAGCTCAAATTACTGTATTAATTGCATTGTAATACTGAAGAACAACTCTCAAAAATGTGCCAATGAAAAGATTCACATTCTGTAAAATGTCTCGATCCATATGTAAATGTCTACCTACTTTAAGACCAAACTTGTAAAAGACAAAACTACTTTTTTTTTTTTTTTTTTTTTCAGATTCTATGCTAAAGGAATAGTCCATAGAAGTATGGGACTGGGGGAGCAAAGTCCCTCCCACTGTAAATGAAGATCAGGTTCTTGACCACCTGAGGAACTTGAATGTACATCAGTCTATGGGACCTGTTGAGATGCATCCCAGAGTCCTGAAGGAATTGGTTGATGGAATTGCCAGGCCACTCTCCATGATATTTGAAAAGTCATGGCAGTCAGGTGAAGTCCCAGGTGACTGGAAAAGGGGAAGTATTGTCCCCATCTTTAAAAAGAGCAGAATGGAGGACCCTGGGAACCACTGTTCTGCTGGTCTCACCTCTCTTCCTGGGAAGATCATGGAACAGACCCTCCTGGAACCTCTGTTGAGGCACATGGAGGACAGGGAGGTGATTTGGGACAACCAGCACGGCTTCACCAGAGGCAAGTCCTGCCTGACCAACCCAGTGGCCTTCTATGATGGAGTGACTCCATCACTGGGCAAGGGAGGGGCTACAGATGTCATTTGTCTGGACTTCCGTAAAGGTTTTGACATGGTCCTCCACAACAGCCTTCTCTCTATATTGAAGAGAGATGGATTTGATGGGTGGACTGTCAGATGGATAAGGAATTGGTTGGATGGTCACATCGAGAGGACCACAGCTCAGAGTTCCAATGGACATCAGTGACCAGTGGTGTCCCCTCAGGGGTCTGTATTGGGACCAGTGTTATTTAATATCTCCATTTATGACACAGATTGAGTGCAGCCTCAGCAAGTTTGCAGATGACACCAAGCTGAGTGGTGCAGTTGACACACCTGAAGGATGGGGCCATCCAGAGGAACCTGGACAGGCTTGAGGAGTGGACCTCATAAAGTTCAACAAGGCCATGTCCAAGGTGCTGCACCCGGGTCAGGGTAACCCCTGGTATCAATCTAGGATGGGGGGTGAGCAGAACAAGAGCAGCCCTGCCAAGAAGGACTTGGGGATGCTGGCCCTGTCCATGTGTGCTTGCAGCCCAGAAACCAACCATGTCCTGGGCTGCATCAAAAGAGGAGTGGCTAGCAGGGTGAAGGAGGTGATTTTGCCCCTCTGCTCGGCTTTGGTGAGACTCAACCTGGAGTACTGTGTCCAGTTCTGGGGTCCCAAGAACAGGAAAGACATCGACCTGTTGGAGTGAGTCCAGAGGAGGTCACCAAGATGATCAGAGGGTTGGAACCCCTCTCCTATGAGGACAAAGAGAGTTGGGGCTGTTCAGCCTGGAGAAGAGAAGGCACTGGGGACACCTTGGAGCACCTTCCAGTACCTAGAGGGGGCCCATAAGAAAGTTGGAGAGAGACATTTTACAAGGGCATGGAGTGACTGGATGAGGGAGAATGGCTTCAAACTGAGAGTAGGTTTAGATCAGATATTAGGAAGAAATTCTTCCCTCTGAGGGTGGTGAGGCCTTGGCACAGGTTACCCAGAGAAGCTGTGGATGCCCCATCCCTGGAAGTGTTCAAGGTTGGATGGAGCTCTGAGCAACCTAGTTTAGTGGAAGGTGTCCCTGCCCTTGGAAGGGGGTTGAAACTTGATGGTCTTAAAGGTCTCTTCCAAACCAAACCATTCTATGATGCTATGAATAATTACAGGTATTATTCTGACTTTATTCTCAATGAATATGAATGAAGAGAGCATCTAAAGGAGACCATGAGAATGGTGAAGGGTCTGGAAGGGAAGCCTTATGAGGAGGGGCTGAGGGCACTTGGTCTGTTCAACCTGGAGAAGAGACTGAGGGGAGACCTCATCAGGGTCTTCAAGATCCTCACAGAGGGCAGCAGAGGGGCATACACTGATCTCTTCACTCTCGTCACCAGTGACGGGACCCAAGGGAATGTCCTGAAGTTGAGTTGGGGGAGATTTAGGTTGGATATTAGGAAAAGGTTCTTCCCCCAGAGGGCGGTCGGGCACTGAACAGGCTCCCCAGGGCAGTGGTCATGGCCTCAAACCTGCCAGAACTCAAGAAGTGTTTGGACAACACTCTCAGGCACATGGTGGGATTGTTTGGGTGTCCTGTGCAGGGCTAAGGGTTGGACTCCATGATCCTTGTGGGTCCCTTCCAACTCAGGATATTCTATGATTCTATGAATATCTACACTTATTGAATGCTATAGAATGGTATTTTTAATGTGGAAAACATCATGGAATATTAGAAGTGGACTTCAATGGCAAACTGTATACATATGACCTTAACTATATTCCATATCAATAATCTTGTGACCTAAATTTTATTTTCTATACATTACATAAGAGTGATATATGTAAGAAAATCCTTACATGCTGCATGTGTGTATTACTGCATGTGTGCATTACTGCATGTGTGCATTACTGTAATAGTTTGAGCTGAAATAAAAGTTTCATTCTAATAAGAAATAATACAATAGTCAAAACCAAGAATCCCTTACCAATAGCCTTCCTAATAAGCTAAGTAGCAACTCTGCAGCTGGCCATTCTGGTTTATTAACTGTGGAAAGAAGATCCTGAATGAAGTTCTCAAACAGTGGTCTGTAATCTTCTTCCCCTTGTTTACTGCCACATCTGTTTAAATCAAAATGCATAAGTGAATTTAAGAGTCATTTAAGCTTTTCTTCTGATGCAAACAGAGCTAATCCTATTAGAATCCAGAAAATCAGTTTTATGCAATTCTAAAAAAAAAAAATCTGAAACATTAGCAAAAAAAATTGGGTTTTTTCCATTTACAGACAAATAGTTTACACAGTTATCGCTCCAAGTTGCACTGTAAGTAAAGTAGCTAATCCTGTATAATAGAATTTTGCTCCTAAGATTTATTTATCATTTTGAGTTAAAGTCTGCATTAACTTGGATGGACAAAGTAGATAAAATTCTAAAGTTTAACCTAGAGCGGGGTATTTAGGAGGTATTGTGTCCTTAAACCTGGTCTGACTTATCTCACACTGATAAGGCATCTCAGTATTGTGTTCCATAAAGGTTAAAATCAGAATATAAAAAAATCAAAAGATAACATACGTGATAGTGTTTCACTTACATGTGGCACACCTAACTTTAATTATACCAGAATTATGCAGAGAGATGGCTAGATAGCTCATAAATAGCCTTTTTGGCTTAACAATAAAAATTATCACGATAAAAACCTCAGGACTTTTTGTTACAAATCTTTTGGTTATTAAAGTACATTTTTTTTCCCTGTTGATCTATTGACATTCCTAACTTTATGTAAATTAAAGTAATTTTATGGGGTTTATATTTTTGTCATTTTGATGACTGAAATAATCTGGTTTCATCACTTAAGTATTTACTCAGCTTTCTCTTCCATGCTTCAGATGAGTAAAAGACCCCTGATAAAAGGATCCTACATAAATTATCAGAAAGATTCTTAAATATGTTGTTTTTAAACTCCATAGAATTTCTGTTCCATAAAAATATTTGTCCAGACAGGTAGCTCTCAGGGATCCATAAAATATATTGTTATAAGTAACTTTATTAGTAGTCATTTAGCATTGCAAAGTGGTTTAGTTTGTCTTAAGGTGTGACAGATTTTATTTGGAGTTGGTTTCATCAATACACTAAAGAATGCAACAGTACTTACTTCTTAAGGAAAATAGAAAGGAAGTTTTGTGCTGTTCTCATGGCTGTTTCATATGAGTTAGTCATAAGCACATCTTGATCCACCTAAAAATAACAAGATTTATTTTTCTAATATTTTAGCATACACAGAAATATAATGTCCAGATCAGCATTTCTCATTCATCAAATAATTACAGCAGAAAAAAATTAAATTAAAATTAAAATGCTTAATTACTAGAGCACCATCATAAACTATTATACCTACAAAGTCATTCCTGCACCAAAGAAAAAATTATGGTTCCTTAAATAAAACTTACTTTTTTGTTTGATTCCTCCTCTGAATTAGAATCTTTTTCCGCTGATGGCAAATGCACCACACATTGAATAAGTTGCAGAACTAGTGCTGTTACCATCTGAATATACATAGGCTCTCCATCAGTGTCACTGCTGTTTAACCTGTTAATAAGACACCATTAGCACTAAAAATAAACAAAAAAGAGAAAAAAGTTTTTGATCCTAAATAACATCTTTCTAAAATAATAATCAAAGCTAGAAATCTGTGTTATAGACATTTATCTAATCATTTGCTTCTCTCTTATGCAGTGAAAGAATTTAGTCTAACAAAAATGGAAAGTATTATTCTCAGGCTGAAGAGATGAAGTGAAACAGTTCACAGATGGGACATCAGAGTCTGTGAAGTTCAGCAGCTGAAAAATCTTCAGAAATGTTTAATAAATCAAACATGTTCATGCAAAGGTACTTACTAATAGGCTTATCATGTATAATGCCATATCCATTTCCAGCACAGTATTAAAAAAATAGACCGAACTTGTCATAATAATTTATTACTTATATTATTTAATGTATCTGAAATGTGCAGGACTTTTAAACAAATGAAATTTGTGACCACAACCTGGACTGACTTCTACAAGTTACACCTACGATAATCTCAGGTAGCATAACAGACTAAAAACTTCAGCATGTAAGAGTGTCTTTTGAGTTGGTATGACCAGTACAAACACACTCCACCTCACATTTCTCCCATTCCAAGTGATTTAACCTAACAAATAATATGGTGTTTAGTACCCATATGTACATCAACACCACTTAATGTTGCCCTTAACAATATGAAAAGGTGATAATCTCTGACATCATTGTCCCCAAATTATCAAAATAATAACTGGACACAAAGCAGATTGCAATTATTATCTTTATGAAGTTATCTCTAACTACTTGTATGGAGATATTTTCCTATAAAATTTTAGGCAAACTGTACCCTTCATGACTACAGCCACAGACAGGGAATGTCCTCCAGCAGAACAGAGCGAGGACTCAAGATAAACAGTGCAATCATTATGGTCTTGAGATAGTAACTTCCTTATAGTAAAGGTCCCAATTCAAAGATGGTATCTACCATTTATGTTCCTATGCTTACCACCTTCCTGTTTACTAGATCTCACTGATGTCTATAAACAAAGCAATAGGAAATACTAGGAACCAGTACTCATGGATTACTGAATTCAACTAAGTTTCAGTGAATTTCTTTTCCTGGATATTTCCTGTTCATGCACCCTGGATCAGACAACCTATTTCATTGACAACTTGTCTGTCTCCAGGAAAAAGATGTATAGAAGCAAGGAACAAAATCAACACTAATAACAAATGTTTTAGAATAATTTGCAGTGTCCAACCTCAGTTTTAACTGAAATCCTGTCCAGGTCAGATTCTTTCTCTAATTTAACCTGAACCTATACTATTATTCAGTAGATGCACTTCAATCCAGTTAAAGTGCTTAAAAGACAGTTACAAGTAAATGGAGTAGTTTCTAAATGAGACACATTCAAAGGAGTATTAGATTGATTTTCTGGAAAGAGTGCTCTAAGAGTGTTCTATTAAGCTTTAGGAAAGACAAAATTATATAAAATTCATATGAATAAACCAAAGAATTTTCCAAGGAAAAAACCTATGAGTGCATACTAGTATTACAGACATTTGCATACTTAGTGAGACAAATAATAAGATATTGCAATTATTTTTGTAAGTAGGCATACTACTGTCTACACATTTTCAGTCTATGTCAGTAATTACCTGAAATTTCTCAAACTCCTCTTGCTAGTTGGTAGTCTTGCAAGGGAAGTGAAAATTTCTTCTAGTATTAACTGTCTATGTTTTTCATACTTGGAGAACACCTATTTAACAGTTACATAATTGTTAAAAAATTATTTATTATAACATAAAATATCACTTGTTAAATAGATTATATATAGAAACATACACTTTACATGACATTTAAATAAATTATATTTCATGCACACCTTATTTTTAATGCATTGCTTTGTTTTTTCAAAGTAAGCATTTCTTTATAAAATACATAAAACCTTTTTCAAATATAGCTTTTAAAAAATCTTCAAATAGCATAAATGTGTAATAGTTCTTGAAAATACCATATGTTTTAAAATTTTCTACCAATGGTACAATACACTGAAAGTCAAACAGTGTAATACTAAGCTTTCAGACTCCAGTATAGAGCAAAAGTCTATGGTAACATACATTATATATGAACACGTATAGTTTTAGAGCACATTTGAGAAAACTAAGCTTTAATGTTTGCATGACATAAAATATTATTTCAGTTTCTGGGGTCAGGATTGTAGAGTTTGCTTCTCTCTTTGTTTGGGTAGAACTACTTTTATAAATACTGGAGTACATAATCCTTACAAAGATGAAAAACTTTCACTTGAACAAACACATTTGTGTTGTGCTGCAATTTTCCTTAAAAAATATTTTATCTGCCCCATTTTTCAAATAACCCCCTCTTCTAAGGAGAAGATAGAATATATTCTATTATATAGTTCTATTATATATTATATATAGAACTATCCTACTAGTTCTATAGCTTATACCATTGCATAAATTGTAATCTTAACAAGGGAGGTAAGGAAAATTGCATTGTTAAGATTTCTTAAGACAAGAAAGAACAGAAGAGGAAGGGGTTTTTGTTTTCACTTTAAATAACATAACCAAAATTGAGTAAAATCCTTGGTTTAAGTAGGCTATTTCTTCCTATAGAGTACTCTGAAAATGAGAGATCAGGTAGCTTTAATACTGTTCCTAGATTGTGATACCAAACTGTAAAAACATGGAAGAACAAAATTAGTTCTAAACTCCAATTCTCTACCAGCAAAAATACAGCCTATGTAAATGCCCTAATAACTCTCAGAAGAACATGAAACTGCAAATTAAAAATTACTTACTGCAGTCACTAATTTGATGGCACATAACTGTAGTTCACTGACATTTTCTACAAAGAAAGGTGTTATTCCCATAGATGATATCTATCAACAGAAAGAAGTTATTGTAAGTATATTTGACTAACAAACTGATATTTATGCATTTTCACAAGTAGATTACTCATTCATCAGATAAGGTATTTAGAAACATGTATTACTTCATATTATTTGCAAATAAAGTTCTTAAAGGATATTTTAATACAACCAGGTTAAAATTTTCTTAAGTGTACAATAAAAACCATTAAAGATCTAAATATTAAATGTTCTGCAGGCTACATACTACAGAACAAACTAGTCACTGATGTTAATAATTCAAAAGTTTGTACTTATTTCATACTTCATGTCATTGAGACAATTGCACTTTACAGTCTCTCTGGGAAAAGAAAAAACCATTCTCAGACAAAAATTTTTTTTATAAAACTTACTTGAAGAATAGTTGTATCGGTGAGAAGCTGTATCTCTAGCAACTCTGACAAACTGCTGACAATATCACAAACTTTGTTATATAACATCACTATAACTCTTTGCTTGTGGGTGGAACACTTAGCACGTTTTGCTTTTGAACTTAAAACACCACCTAGAAAATAAAAAATATCTTTATTAATTTTTTCAGTCTTTCACTTAGATATTAGAAAGATGATCATCTTCCTCAAAAAATGTCTCCAAAACAACTCCATGACTATAGCTTTGTAAATGCAAGTGCTCACAGAAGAAAAACTTTTTAGTAAAGTCAGTTGGAAAGCAAGAATTTCATATTTCAGTAATTGCTCTGAATTCTGCATCCAAGATTTTTGAAACCATTCTTGAACACCCGCATCTGAAGATATGCATATGACAACAAAATGCCAAATGCAAAACATTTAGCATACTAACCACCATGAGGATCCACTCTATACACAGGATCATATTGAGGATAGAGAGTGTTCTGCAAATGAAATTTTGTGTATTGAATAACTCTTTCTATTACGTCCTCAATATATACAGCTTTAGGCATATTTGGTGATGTCATAATATTGATAGCAGTAAGACAAGCATCAGCAGATTTTGTTACTCTCTCCATAATAAGATCTCTCCATAATCTCTCCTCATCTTCAGTGTCATTGTTCTGTAACAGGCAATAGAAAACAAGATAGTGTGAACAAGAAGTTAAATTTTTATCATTACCAAGTAAAAGATAACATTATTTTAATATATTTACATACACACATACAAAATGCAGTATTTCCTTTATGATACAAAATTAGTTTGTTTTAGAAATCAACAAATGTTTATTTTACTAACCACAAGTTTGTAATCCTAAGTTACAAGTCTTCAATATCTCACTGTATTCTTCTGGTAAAACACAAAGAAGCTTTCTGTGTATCATTGGAAAGCACCTTTAAGGAGGACTGTCACATTCTCTACTTAAAATGATGTACCTTAATCAAAATCTAAACTCATTCATCTAGTGTTTTCTTCGGTGGCCTATACACACCAGTTGCTGCTTTGATCAGTCTAATTTTTGCCACTAGAGGGTATTCTTACTCAAAAAGACTGTTGAATCACACAAAACTTATGAGAATACAACTTTCTCCATAGACCAATTAATCTATATCAATGGATTTAAAACATGCCTCATCAAATATGACCATTTAGATTTAGCACAGGGTATGAAATCTGTATTTCTGTGTTTCTACAAGTTATAAAAGTAAATATACATGAGGTTAATTATGACCACCTAGCACTACTGAAATATTGTAATAATGTTATTAATAGCAAAACCAGGTGAATTTTTTAATAACTTCTCTGGTACAGAGAAAAATAATCTTTCTTGCCTGTATAATAGCACAGTTCAACACTGTTTGTTTTCCTTGTAAAAATAAGGGGTTGGTGAAACCATATCAACTTTTTCTATCTAGGGTAAGGGAATCTAAATATCCCAGTGCATTATATATATTTGAAAAATCACCAGAAATCTGCAAATCAGGAGACACCTATAAATTTCTTGCATAGGATGGCTTTAAATCACACAATGGAGGGTTAAAAAAACCTAACACCAAAAAAAAACCCAAAATAAAAGCCCAAGTACTTCCATTTTTTTCCTAATTAATCTTGTACGTGCAAGAAAAAATACCTCTGGAAAATATCCCAACATGGAGGTAGGATATTTTTACTGCACTGTAAAAGAAATAAGCCTACTCCTTAGCAGAGGCTTTCTTTGCCATAATGACCTGAATCATGTTCACTGGGTTTTAAAAAAAAATCTAAAACTTGTTTGGCTAAAGATTTCTGCTTTTAATTGAAACTTTGTATCTCAGTTGCAATCATTGGACAAATCCATTAACTCTTTCATAATCTTGACTTTTACTATGAAAAGATAATGAAAAATATCACTTTAAAGGCATTGTCATAAAGACTCAATCGTAGTGAATTACAGTAGGTAAACCTGCACTTTCTTTTCACTTATTTTTCATACTGTTTAAGACATTCAGAACCATATACTGAAACTTTGAAAACCCAACAAACTACCTAGATGAAAATATTTAGGTACAAATAATGTTTTTTATTTTCAAGTTCAATTTTTTCTTTCCAATATACATAATTACTCTCTATTTCTAGAGATCAAGGGTTTTTTTCCCAGAAAACTCAAGAACTCTATTCTTGATAGAATACTGTTTTGACTAGAAAGTGTAGAAATAAATAAATAAATAAATAAATAAATGTGTAATGTATTTGAACCTCATAAAAACCCCTCCAAATCCCCATGTAGCTTTAGGTATATCAGAAAAAAAACCCTAAAATCTTCAACATCCTGGTAATTTTGTTTATGTTGATATCTTCAACTTTGCAGCATAAGGGCGGATCTAAATGAAGCACTTTCTCAGTTCTTAATGCTCAGGAGAAGAATATGCTCTACATGAAAGCTGTAATATTTCTTCCATTGTATAAGTGATGTTTTATGGACACGTAGAAAAGTAGAAAAAAAATGCCCAGTGGTGCAAGTAACACCAGTTACCATGAATATTTCAGGATGAAAATATAATATTTAAAATTAAGTCAAAAGATAACCTAATTGTTCCCAATATATCTGTTAGTTATCAGTACTATAGTAAAACATACTGAAACAATATAAACAATCGAATGTTACTTCAAATCTTAAAATTTGGTAATATTTTAATCACATACATATTAAATTAGTAAATACTTTCACAGACACACACAGTATTTGCAATTCTCACTATATGGGACTCAGGTGAAGAAAACCCTATTCTGCACAATGGTGTGAAACAATGTAATTTGAAACTCACATGGTTAAGTAATGTAGAAAGCTTCGAACCATCCTGAATATTCTTCTCCAAAATATTCAAGACTTTTACTGTTTTATCTGTTGAGAGCTAAAACAAGAAACAAAACATCAAACAACTGTAGGAATATAAAGGCTTCCAAACTGCTGAACAAATGTCCATGTATGAAGGACAGAACATGTTATGTAATCTGACAAATTTTAATTGTAAGCAATCTGAGATAAGGATTGGATCTTGATTGGTCTGGTTTCTGACACAGCATGATTGAGAATGCTGATAGAATTAAACTAGTGAAATATGTTCTAATACTGCAATCAAACGGCAAACCAGCAAAATATATAGAAATGTATTTAGAATTAGGTTTCTGTAATTAATTTTGTATAGTTATATGCTTTGCTTCTAGAAACAGAAATTTACCAAATCTAAGTATCAATCTCAAATTCTAACTGACCATATAGAGCTTTATTAAGAGAAAATCCAAGTTCTATGGACAAGCAGAAATAAAATTCCCTGATACTTGAGTGCTAATAAAAAGGAAATGTATTCTCAATAACTGTGTTAATTTAAAAAAATTAGTATGTTGAAAAAAGTAACTCAAATTCACTTACTGATGTTCTACAGAATTATGATTAAATAATCTGTAGAATATGCTAAACTCCAGAAAAGTCAGTTTCATTCATCCAGATACTATTGGATGCTCACCTTTGGAAGCAACAAAATTTTGATTTTATGCATACATGTAAGTATGTATGCAAAAAAAACAGGGAACAGAGGTTAAGGGTGAGAACTATCAGAAAACAGAAACACTCAGGTTGATATCACGCTACAAAGGAAGGTAGTGAGATCAAAGGAAAGACCAGGAAGAATATCTAAATCACAGATAAAAGAAAACCCTTCAGGGTAACTTGTATAAGTGGTTTCATAGATACTTCATAAACATAATATGTGGTTATGAGCAGGTAGAGTAAGAATATAACACAAGACTGTGTAAAGCCAAGATTTCTAGGAAGATAAGGAAAGCAAGAATATTGTTTCTAGAGGTGTAATACCACCAGTTTGCACCAACAGAAAGTTTCCTTGAACAGAAGTTGGAAAGAGTATAGCAAAGAAATCACAATATGCAGTCTACAAAAAATTAATCTTATTATCAGCTTGGGCATTAAGTCTTCTAAGTTTGAAAGGACTCTTTGGAGAGAGGAAGGAAGTAGGCAATTCAGTATGATGCTGGATGGACATCATACATTTACATTGCACTAATGGCATATATCAGCAAGGATGGATTTTTTTACTTTGCCAGCAGGTTCTGTTTTACTGTAGTTGCTCAACACTAGCTGTAAGGATCAAAGCCTATAGGATGATGTGTTTTTGTGAAAATAGATTAATTATTAGATTTTACTGCTCAGGCGTGTGTTACCTATTAGCATATAGTACTCTGAGTCAGCCCTAACAGAGGACCATTCAACAAAAATGTCACAGATTCAGAGACAGTAACATTTACGATGTGGCAAAGTTTTTAAGAACTTCAGCAGAAGCACAACTGTTCGCAGTATACCTGTCACATGTACACCTAAAGAGGGTGGAATATTACAGGGGACACATGTTTTTGTATGTTTAACAAAATTAAATGTTGAAAAAGAGCTAAATACTATGAAGATGCACCTTGTCCATAATGCCCATTGCCTTGATTTTTGCAGATTCACTACCCAACTCACTAAGCTGATGCTTTCCCAGTAGCAATTCTTGTGGAATCTCATCATCATCACCTTAAAAAAAAATAATTAAAAATTAACAATCACATTTCTAATAAGACTTCAAGGAAACTGGTATTTTACAGCCAATATGAAAAAGCCAACTGAAGAAAAAGAACTCATTTTCCAAATAGTTAACATATAATAGTTCCATTTAATGAAGACTGATAATGACAAGTTTTGATTGTGTTAAAATGACTACTTGTTAAATATGACTGAAAGTCATAAGTTAAGTTTTAATCCAAGGTTGTAGACACCATAGCTTTAGTGATTTGCTTACTATGTTCCTCCCCTTGTTCTAATCTTGTGACGAAGATGGTAGGAAAAAAATTAACAAATGCTCCATTATCCATTTCAAAATCATCTTGGTCATCTTGGTGAACCTGAATTCCATCAGACACGTATGTTAAACTGGCTTAGTTTCTACTGAAATGGATAAGGAGCATACAGTGATTCAGTGTCTTACTCATAAGTGCATAAGCACTGCTGCTGAATTGAATAATCAACCTCTGTTGGACCAAAGGCCACAACAGATGTAAAATTATGTGCCTCAGAAATTACTGGCAATAAAACAATCTTATGTTAGTTTTGTTTACAAAGATATGTTTGACAGAAGATAACACCCTAATGATGTCCCAAAGAGGTACCCTTTCCACTTTAAGGGACTATTATTTGTCTTATTGTGATTTATGTCCCTTTTGGATTCTGCAGAGAGGAAGAAGGATATTCTTCCTATAGTAGCAAGTGAAATTGGAAAGGTAAAGGCCTCCACTAAAGGTAGAAGCCATATAAATGCAGTATACTGTAGTGTGTATCACAGGCAATTAAATCACAAAGAAGGAAGTTTGAAAATACTGAGATGCAAATTTCCTTCATGTGTTTCTAATTGGGGAAAGTATTTTGAAATATTCTGACATATTACCAAAAGCTGTAAAATCCATGTCTTCTAAATTTTCCAAAATATTCTCTATTGAAGCAGTAAATCTTTTGAAAGTAGAAGAATCCATCATTTCTGTTGAAAAAGAAATGTATATATAATTATTTTATATACAAACCAGAAAATACAAACTATAAAAAATAAATATTCTAAAATTACCTTCAGGTGTTAGTTTAGGTTCGTAAGCTTTCCTCTTCTTTTGTTTTTCTTTTTTCTTCATTTTTCTAGCCACTAATTAAGAGAATAAAGGACTGTTTACACTTTTTATGCTTATATTCAATACTGCATGTAAAAATGTTTATTTTAAAATGTTTAAGATATACTTTTAAAATGCAATAGTATTATGGAAGAAAATAATTTTTTTAAAACAATCAGTTACCCTCACTGAGGCTAGGAAGAGGAGAATAATCATCCATATCAGAGTCATTGGGACTGCGATTACGATAACGGCTACTACCAGAAGTCCTCCTTCCTTCATGACAATAACCACTTCTCCTATGGTCACCAGAACTTCTTCTATCATGTTCTTCATATTCCCAAGCTTCATCTCTATCCTTTTTATGTCTTTTACGAGATGCTAGAAATTAAATGCATTTTCATTATAAGGACAAAAATTCTACTTTTAATAGCTCAAAGTTATACATTTGCAAGTTAAACACTATCATATAGATGTTTTGTAAAACAAACACTCTAAAACTATAATATAAAAATCTGTTATGACATTATTCTAACAATTTCTTTTGAATTACATGAAAACTGTACCTAAAACTGGGAACGACAAACAAACATTTAAAAATACAAATTTACAGGGCAGTTGTCATTTTAAACAAAGTCTGGAAAGTAGAACAAATCAAAATAAGTTTCATCCTTTTAATAAGAGAACACTGAGGTAATTTCTTCAGTTATCTAAATTCTGACTATTACTGGATGTCTGTTCCAATTCAGTGATTGCATCTAACACAACAAGGTCCAGTGAGACTTGGCAATCTCTAGTTACTTAAAGATATTCTGTTTTGTCAAGACAACTAAAATTTTGTTTTGATATATATTTCCAGAGATTCAGTATAATGGAGAAAGCTGGAGTCACAATCCTCAGCCAGGCAGCAAGTATATACCACAGAAAGTTATTATAATCAGTTTTCAGTCAGGACCAAAAAAACTTGCACAACTGAATGTTGAAAAACTGGGATAAATGTTCTATACAAAACCAGAAACTTGATAGAAATAAAGCGTGTGTGTATGGAAGAGAATGGAGAGTTCTTTGTTTTCAAATACAGTCCTCAAGGAGCGAGAGTGATAAGATGTAATAGGAAAAAGATACGGAGAAGGAGGTAATTTCATCCATGAAATCAGCCAACTCTCTATTATATAAGGTAACAGGATAGTAAAGAGATGTCTAACAGAGACTTTGCTGTGAAGATCAAAATGGCTCCAAAACATTACATTCTAGACTAGAAGAGTTTATTATTCATGTGAACTTGCATATAACAGCCCTGACATCTCTGTGTCTCTACCAAAGCCTCCTGAAATTTAGAGAGGTATGACTGTATAGAGAGTTGTTTCTGAGCAAAATGGCTCCAAGCATTCAGACAGAACTGGAACAGAACTGACAAGTTCTTTCCATAACCCCAGTTTATGGAGAAGAATAGGAAACATACTAGAATATAGTTACACCAGGATATAGTCAGTAGTCAGCTCAGGCTCAGAACTAATAAAACCAACATTGAATCAAAGGTGATACTAATGCTCTGCACTGCACTCTAGAGGGTTTCCATTTCTGAAAACTTCTTCACAGAAGTGGTTCAAGTATTTAATAACTTAGTTTATGTTTTTGAGTTGTTCTGCTTCTGGATCAGACTTGCTTCTGGAGGCAGTAAAATCATGTTCACAAGGCCTGAGCTACTATCACTGTCAATTCTAAAATGGTTGAGAGTTAACTGCAACTGAAGAAATGAAGAGCTGCCTGGGATACCTGAAGTGAGCATATTGGAGAAGTAGGGGGTTTATGGGAAAAGACTTTACACATCTTAACTGATTCTTTTCCCCCAGGAGACAGTATTTTGTGGAGGTAGATGAAATCTGTCTCCACAGTTTACAAATCATTAGTATCAGTTTATGCTCTGTAGGACAAATTCTGACCCCAGCTACATCTCCATGAGAAAAGTCACTTCCAATATTGCTTTCCAGCAGAAATTTAAACTGACCGGTTTATTAATGTTGCACAACAAAACAGAATGTGTTACAGTTGTACTGGCTCTGCAAGGCAAATAACATGTACATGGGAACATCTACTCATGATAAGTAATTGCTCTACAAAGTTTATTTTGAAGTAGATAAAAATAACTAAAAATGTAAGTACTAATAATATTTCAAGAAATACTATTAATTTTTTACATAGACTACTCAGAATTAAAACACCCAATTTCCTTCTGAATTCTGCCAAACACTTATTAAATAAACACATTTAGCACTCACTGTATGAGAATTATTTCATCAATTTTTAGTTCTCATAATTTAATTTAACGGAATGCCCTTTCTTTATGAGATACTAAAAGAAATTTATCTTCTTCTATAACAATCACTATTTCATATTTTTAAAGTCCAATTTTAGACAACCAAAAGAATTCTGAAATACATATCTGTAACAGTACAAATCTATTCAGTGTACTTGACATAGATCTTTCATTCTCTTGATCATTTTGTTTTGTTTTACCTCAATTCAGTTCTACAGTATCCTTTGAGAAATATAATTTACTTTTAACTAAAATGTCCTCAATTAATTGTTTAGAATGATGGTCAGATCTCTTGAGTGGATATAGTGAACCTAGAATCCCTTAAAGCATATAATTACTGTGAAAATTTTCCTTAATTTGCTTTACTTCACATTTAAGAATTTCAACAACCACTATGGTTTATATGTACTACTTACATTCAAAAGCTTCTTCACTGTCATTGTCTTCATCAGAACTGATTTCAGCATATTTTGGTTTCTCATTAACTGTGCTACGTTTGCGCTTGTTCATTTTCACACGTTCACAAAGCGGCATGGTGGATTCAATTTCTGCCAGGAGCTCAGGAGGCAATTCCTTTAACACTGACTGATCTATGCTACCTATTAATGGAGAACAAGAAGAGTAAATATGAACCTGAAGATAATAAGGGCTCAACACTACAGTCCTTTCTCAGGAACTGCTTACAGTAGATCTAATAATAAATAATACCACAGTTGGATATACTTGGATGTATTTGACAGCTCTTTCTAAAGTTGAATTTATTGTTCACACTGCAATTAGAAATTAACATAATGAATTGCATACACATCTCCTTCAATAAAATATTTTGTCAGGCATATAAATAAATTCAAATTGGTGAATTTCCTTTGTAAAAAGACATTCTTGCTGTACTTCCACAAAATTTAGTCTTATTTTGGTTCATTCTCTGAATTCAACAGTTTTTCTAACAGTGTATGTAAATTAAGGATTCATTAAGCCTAATTAATAGTTCTGTTTATTCTCATTCAAATTATTTAGTGTACACAAAACAGTAATCTTCCTATTTTCAGCAGTTAGAGACAATCTGTGGCAGAATCTGTGGGGTCTTATCCCTAAAACCAGACAAAATACTTGACATTTCAATCTCTGCCTCAAATTTTTTTTTCTTACCTTTTACTAGTAGTTTTATAATGAAACCCAAATTTTTGCTTGATTTTGTCACAAAGCATATTTGGAATATTTTTTACTTAATATATACAAACAGTAAGTTGGACCACATCAGGGTTCTCTTCCACAGAGGTAAATACTTAGATATTATCAATGATTCTTATCACATTTTAAAATTATGATTAGACCCATATAGTCAGTATAAAGGAATTTACAGTCAAAATATTTGACAAGTGACATGAGGAAACCAAATAATTAGAAAGTATTTCTTGGGGGTTTGTTTATTTGATGTCTTATTTTTATTTATCAAAGAACCTATTGCACAGATTTTAAGATTATTGGACTAAACTGTTAACCTTTTTCCAACAACAGAACAAATGCCTGTCATAAGTGCCTCTCTCTCCTTCCCAAGAAATAGAGAGGAAATCACCTACTAATTGCTATACACACACAAATTCTCCAAGAAATCATCTGGATGATAATTCACTTTTTAATTGCATTAACTATATAACTAACATAGCTTTATAAAATTTATTTCCATTTTTACACAAATATCCCAGTAATAATTTTTTTAAAGTCTCATATCATATATTACTGGTTTCACATATCTCTACAATGAAACTAATGATAAGATTATTTTTTGGTATAATTCTCAGATATGTTCATCAAGTCATCCTATTAGAGTGCATTTTAAAAAAGATTTAACTTAAAATATTGGGGTTTTCAAACTGAGGTAGGAAAATATCTATAAAGTAAAACTGATAGCAAAAGTTGTCCCTGCTTCCCCCGTGCTGTGGTCGCTCATTTATTTGCTTTAAATTTCCATTCTTTGATAATTACCACCTGATAAAGTTCTCAAATTCTCAATATTGTTTTTAAAAATGCTAGAAAACATTTCACAGTGTGGTTTACCGTGGTACTTTGAAATGATTATTCTTTGTGAACTGGGCACTATATTGAAGATAGGCAGAAATATGACAGCATGGACAGATCAGTTCCTCTATATGTATCAGCAGTTGACTGGATGCCAGCCAGGTCTAATCTAGATGCTGCATGGACATGTCTGAGCAGTGGTTGCCCTACATTAATACTCTTTGCATGCCTATACATTGTCTGAAGAGAGTTAGCTTACATTCAGACCCAGACTAGAAGAAAATTTGCACATATATGTTCTAAGACAATGTCCACAGGTGAAATTGCTAGAGGACCTCAGATCCTGGGTTTTTTTAACACATATTCTCAACTTCATGCACTGTTGATAATTTCATTGAAATCAGGGGGACAACACACAGAGCATAAAGCCTATAGTAAATCTGGTCAAATACACTGCAAAAAACAGCTGCAAGTAAAGGAACAAAAGTTGCATTAAGATTCATATAAGTGCTTAAAAGCTAGATGGGCTAGATGTACTTACATTAACAGGAGTATTTTTCTACAAATATATCTTTAAGCCTCTCCTAGTCTACAATGAAAAGTAAATTTTAAACCATAATAACTAGTAAGACAGATTGCTTGGAGAGGAAATAAGAAAAGGAGACCAATCAGCAATGGATTGTATACCCAGATTGGCAAGAGTTCCATAACCAAATTCTAATTCAATTCAACTTCAAACTCAGTTTCAAAACTATGCCTGAATGTTTCATGATATAATTTTAAGATTGTGAACATTGTTTTGAAGAACTGTTAGAAGAGAATTCATGCTTTATTTTCCTAATACTGTGCACAAAGAACATATCAGTAAGATGAAAGGTGATATATTTTAAGTAAGAAAACCCTAAAAAAACACTGACCGAAACAGGAAGCAAAAAACACAAGCTGCTACTTCCCTACCTCCTAGGAATATCTATTCTTGCTTTCCTTATTGATTTTGTTCTGAGGGTAGAACACTACTCTGTCTTTAAAAATAAGTCAATTTCCACAGTGTTAATTATACATCAATGAAAAATAAAAATGCACGTAATGTAAATATTTGGAAAAATAACTATCCCTCTGGGGTACTGGGGCCTCCTAAAACAACATCACCTGTACCCCTCATGAAGGCCTCCTCCGTTAAGAGGAAAAGAAGGGTAGTTGTAATAATAGACTCCCTTCTAAGGGAAATGGAGGGCCTGATATGCAGACTGCACCCAACTCACAGAGGTCTTCTGACTCCCAGGGGCTCAAATAAGGGACATTACTGGAAAACTCTCCAGTCTTGTAAGGCCCTCTGATTGCTAGCCATTATTGGTTGTTCAAACTGCCAGTAAGGAAATAACAAAGAGAAGTCTGAGGGCAATCAAAAGAGACTTCAGGGCCCTGGGATGACTGATAGAGGGATCAGGAGTATAGGTAGTGATTTTCTTGACTCTTCCGGTAACAAGGATAATAGGTATAGGCAGGTCCATCAGGTCAGTGAGTGGCTCTGAGGTTGGTTTAATCAGAAAAATGTTGGGGCTTTTGACCATGGGATGATCTACTCAAAACCTGGTCTACTGACACCTGATGGGATGCACCTTTCTCAAAGGGGAAAAATGGTTCTAGAGCAGGAGCCAGCGGGGTTCGTTGACAGAGCTTTACACTGGCTTGCAAGGGAGAAAGGGGCAAAACCAGGCTTGCCAGTGATGAGTGATGGGATGGTGTGCCAAAACTTGAGGAAACAAACACTAATGGCATCCCTCAATCTGTCTCAAGAGGTGTTGGCTACAATGTACCACACCTGAAATGTTTCTACACTAATGCACGCAGCATGAGGAACAAACACGAGGAGCTCAAAGCTTTGGCCCACTCCCAGGGATTTGATATCATTGGCATAAGAGAAACCTGGTGGGATGAGACCTGTGACTGGAGTGCCCAGTTGAATGGTTGGTTACAGGCTCTTCAGGAGGAACAGGCAGGGCAGGAGAGGTGGAGGGGTGGCACTGTATGTAATAGAAGGGTTAGAATGTCTGGAGTTCACAGTTGGCAATGGCACAGTTGAGAGCCTCTGGGTAAGAATCAAGGAGCAAACAAATAATACCAATGTCACTGTGGGAGTCTGCTATAGACTTTCCAGACAGGACGATGACACTGCTGAATTATTCTTTGAGGAACTAGGGGACACTTCAAAGTCAACTGCCCTTGTCCTTATGGGGGACTTCAACTTGCCAGAAATAAACTGGGAGCATCACACAGCTGGTACAACCTGGGCCAGAAGATTCCTAAAAAACCTGGAGGATAACTTTATGGAACAGGTCCTAAGGAAACCAATTTGGAAAGATGCCCTCCTTGATCTGCTGCTTGTCAACAAGGTGGATCTTGTGAGCGAAGTGGGGATTGGAGGTGGTCTTGGCCACAGCAACCACGAGGGAATTGAGTTTAAAATCTCTGTTGACAGGAGGAAAAGTGCCAACAAAACCTCAACCCTGGCCATGAGGAGAGCATACTTCAGGACACTCAGGGAATTAGTGAGTGCGATCCTCTGGGAAAATGTTTGTGCAGGTGCTGGGGTCCATCAGTGCTGGTCACTTTTCAAACATCACCTCCTAACGGCACAGAAACAGACAATTCCCAAATGTTGGAAGCCAAGTAGGCGAGGCAGAAGGTTGGCTTGGCTGATCAGGGATCTTGTCTTGGAGATGAGGCAAAAAAGGAAGGTGTATGCCCAGTATAAGCGAGGTCATGTGAAGAATTCAGAGATGTTGCTTGCCACTGTAGGGAGAAAATTTGTGCTACCAAAGCTCAACAGGAGTTGAAGCTGCCAGAAATGCGGGGGACAACAAAAAGAGTTTTTTCAAATACATTAATGGCAATAGACAGAATAGAAAATTCATTGACCTGTTCCAGGATGAGGATGGTCACCTCCCAAACAGGGAGAGAGACAAAGCAGAGGTGTTTAATGCTTTATTTGCCTGTCATCAACACAGATGATGGACCAAAGGGATCTCAGTGCCCTGAGCTGGAGGACCATGACTTGCGGGAATGATCAACTCCTAGGCAACCCTGAAGTTGTGTGGGATCTGATGCTTTAGCTGGATCCCTACAAATCTATGGGGCTTCATGAGATTCATCCCGGAATCCTCAAAGACCTGCTGATGTCATCGCAAAACCTCTCAATGATTTTTGAGCAAGCTTGGGAACCTGGAGAGGTCCCAGCTGACTGGAAGCTGGTGAACGCTGTCCCAATTTTCAAGAGGGGCAAGAAGGAGGACCCTGGAAACTACAGGTCTGTCAGTCTCATATCAGTGCCTGGTAAAGTTATGGAGAAGATTATTCCAAGATGTATTGAAAAACACCTCAAAGACAACACAGTCATTGGTCACAGCCAGCACAACTTCATGAGAGGAAAGTCCTGCTTATCAGACTTGATTCCCTTCTATGACAATGTTCCCCACCTAGTTGATCAAGGGAAGACAGTTGATGGAATCTTTTTGGATTTCAGTAAAGCTTTCGATCCTGTCTCTCCCAGGAACCTTCTGGACAAACTGTCCAGCCCACA